AATGCAATGGCAACAGCTGCACTCTGAGCGCCTTCTGCAGAAAGGAAAGAAAATAAGTTTTAATTAAATTGTGTTAATTGGTTTAGCTGATCTGGAAATAGAGAAAGGGCTCTGCCCTAATGTTGTTTGTTGGCTCAAGTCCACTTATCCTTGACATGAGAATAAAGGAATGAAGCAATAAAAAGTCTAGAGGTGCCCTGGTAGAGACCTTTAAGCGGTCCAAGGTTAAAGATGCTATCTCAGAGATGAACTTAAAATTCTGTTGCCAACTTAGAGAAGTCAGAAGTGCAAGCAAGAAAAGAGTGTGATTAAAATCCCTGCTTCCTTAAAGCTCTGCAAAGCTGCAAAGAAAAGGCAGGCATTCTTTCCATAATAGTGAGCACTTGTTAGAAAGAAAAGGAGAAGGTTGTGAAAGCATCAGGGTATAATGACCTTATTTCAGGCCACTTGGCGTAAGTTTTCGTATATAAGGGAACTGGAATTTGTTGCTTCACATAGTGTTTCTATGTGTAGAATGCAATTTATTTCCCTTAAAAACATATTTGATTTTATGATCCATGCCTGTGTTGCAGCATTTTAAAAATCAGTGTTATTTTTTTTAAATATTTCAAAAGCATAATATACTAATATAATCTACATTTTGTTTTTGTTTTTTGTTCTGTTTTGTTTTTTGCTTCTGGGGTTCGTTAAGCTGAAAGTTTAAATATAATCTAAATTACCAAAAGTCATTTTTTAAATGGCAAAATTCTGTGTGACACATAAAAAATACAAAGACTACCTAATATGTAGTTAACTTGATGTGGAAAAAATACAGATGTGACAATAAACCTGCTATGAACTGTATATTTGTACCCTCCCCCAAATTCATGTGTTACACTCCTAACCCCTAATGCAATGAAATTTGAAGATGCAGTGTTTGGGAGGTAATTAGAGTTAGATGAGGTCATGAGGGTAGGCTCTCATAATGGAAATAGTGCCTTTATAAGAAGAAATACTAGAGAGCTTGCACCCTGCCCTCTCCTCTCCCTTCCCCTCCACTCCCCTCCTTTTCCCTCCGCCCTCACTTCCCTTTTCTCCTCTCCTCCCTCCCCTCTCTGCTTCTCTCTTTTCTCTCTCTATGTGAGGGCACAGTGAAAAGGTGGCCAGAAAGAGAGCTCTCAACTGAATCCAACTATACTGGCACTCCAATTTTAAACTTCCTGTCTCCAGAACTGTGAGAAAATAAATTTCTGATGTTTCAACTACCCAGTCTATGGTATTTTGTTATGGCAGTCTACGCTGACTAATACAAAGTCATGAGGACAGTAATAAATGAACAGTAATAAGATTGTATCTCTGACTTGGTTTTCATCCATGACTGGGCTCTGAGACTGCCATTATTAATCTGTGACTTCGTGCCCCTCACACACTCCTGCGTGGTGATCATTTACTCATAGCATGATAACTGCTGACAGGAAGCACCTAACTATTAGTGACTCAGGCCGACACTAATAATGTGTGCTTCCCATCTATCTTGTATAGTGGAACAAATTGTGTCTCCAGAATTCAAATCGTGTCTCTTGAGAGAGCTGTATCAGCTGTTTCCCTTCTACTGGAAGGTCCATATGACTGGGCCTCATGCACTGTGGCCAAATGATGGTATGAATGAGACTGGGTTCTGCACTAGGAAGAGGAGTGGTAGAGGTAAATATGGGATAGACATAGCTATAGGAGGGGGCAATGCTCAGCTGGAGAAACTTATGTGGGGTAAGGCCAGGGGTGGAAAGAAGAAGGAGGAGACTTAATACATAAAAGGATAGGTACCCCCCTCCTTCTTTCCTTGTCAGGTACTTTTCTGAGTTTTCTTCTACCTTTTTGAGCCCCTGCCTGGCCCAAATACATACAAACATACATACATATATACACATATAGTCTTATATATGGACACATACAGGCCCCAGAGAGGGAGACTGAAAAATCTGAACAACTCTTCTGCATGGCCTCCTCTGATAAAATCACACAGTCAGCATCAGGGCCCTTTCATTCCATCATCTCTTCTGGGTGCAGAAAAGAGACCTTCAGTGTCACAGTATCTCCTTTCCCTCCTTTCCCAGGAGGCAAACTCTTACAGGGGAGTGAAGATTTCTCCCAAATATATTCAAGGTGACTACCCATATAGGCAGGTGTTCATTTCAGCATGCGTGCTTTACCTTCCAGAAAACTCATTCTTCTAGGAGAGCAAAAGGATGAAACCCGAGTGCTAAATGATCCCTTACCCCAGTGAGCTTGTGCAACTAGTCTGGGCAGTGATGACACCCACAATCTTGCCCTTTCCCTCTTGTGCAGGGCAGGGGTCAGCATCTAAGGAAAATTGTTCAAGAAATGTGTCCTTTTAAAAAGAAATCTACTGTTGTGTTATAAAAATAATACCTTCATTTAATTAGTGCTACATAACAAATTATAGTTGACCCTTGAACAAGACCAATTTGAACTGCACAGGTCCAATTACAAAATGTTTGTATTAGTGGACCCATGCAGTTCAAACCCATGCTATTCAAGGGTCAACTGTATTTTTTATCTTCAGTTGGGAATCAATGAAGAACCCAACTGAATATATAGTAGCTACATGTGGATTTCCCACTGCACAGGAGGTCAATTTCCCTAACTCCTCTGTTGTCCAAAATTTAGCAGCTTAAAACAATACATGTTTATTATTTTACAGTTTGGGGAGTCAAAAACTTGGATCCTGTTTCATGTTCTCTAACAGGATTCTAACCACAGTATTAGGTTGGGTCTGCAATCTGATCTGAAGGCTTGACTGAGATATCATCCTGTTCTCAAGGTTGTTGATGGGAGGCTGTCCAAAGTTCCTTGTCAGGTGGGCTTCTCCCAGATGGCAGCTTGTTCATCAAAGTCTGTAAGTCAAGAGGTAATAGAGAAAGTCTGTTATCAAGACAGAAGTCACAGTCTTATGTAATTAATTATGAAAATGGCATCCTATCATCTTGACTATATTCTATTGGTTAATAGCAAGTCCAGTCTACACTTAGGAAGAGAGGGTTATTGAGAGGTGTGCATTCCAAGAAATGGGGATCATCTAGGGCCAACTTAGAGGCTTCTTATACTAATCATCAGAGAACAATTAGAAAATGCAGAAAAATTAAAAGAAAGCTATGACTATGACAGATAGTCAATCACCCACATTGTATTGCTTCTTTTCTTTTTAGTCTTGTCTTTTATGCATAATATTTTTAAGACTTTAATTATTATCACACTCTGTAGAGTAAATACCACTTTAAAGAAATTTCCCACTAAATTTAATTTGTTTACTGATTAATTTATTATTACTGAACTCTCTTTAAAAACATAATTTTTAAAGAGAGTGCAGTAATAATAAATTTTTACATTAATAAACCATCAGATGGTTTATTAATGTAAACAAATTCCTTTGTCATTGGTATTTAATAATTATTTTCATATTATAAATAGTCACACTGGACATCTTTGTGTACTTTTTCCCCCCCCCTATAGTTTGTCATCCCCTTATCATTGATTCCCAGAAGTAAGTTCTTAAAGTTAGAATTAGTTAAAGACATTTGGTAAATATTCTGAGCCATTTCCAACATCAATAGTATTAACATGGTGGCAGGTATTAGATGAAACTTCAGACAGATCAATAACTTACGGGAAGTGCTAACAGAGGTAACAGGTGGCATCTTGGGTGAAACACTGATTATAAAGAAAATGAAGACAGGGAAGAGGCAGAAATTTGAGCAGGATGATTGCTGGTGTTAGAAAGTCTAGGTAGTTGGGGGAAACAACCATTGAACTAATGAAGAGGTAATGGATGGGATGCCAACATGTAAGTGAATAGACAAGAGAAATGAACATGAAGATAATAGGAAGGAAGCATAGGTTTTCTAGGTAAATACTCAGGGATGGGTCAATATGTCTGATATTCAGCTATTGATGACGAAGGTAGGGACTTCATTATGGGGACAGGGCAGAACATGACTAGGCCAGGCTTTGATTCTGATGATCAGAACAATTAAAATCATGTTCTTTCAATTCCCTCAATAATAAAAGTATTGCTTCCACCATTTATGATTTGGCTGAGCCTATTGATGGGATTTAATTGGAGAATGGAGGAATGAGTGCTTAGGGAGTCATGCTGCTACTTTCAGCAAGGATCCCTTTGTATAATGGGAACAAAGAAAATGCCAAATTTTATGAATTAAAAATCAAGAATTATCTCATTTTTAAGAAATTTAATTTTAATCATGTCTTTGTATGAATGTATAACAATTTTTTAATATATTTTATTGATTTTACACAGAGAGGAATTGAGAGGGACAGAGAGTTAGAAACAACGATGAGAGAGTAACATCGACCAGCTGCCTCTTGCACACCCCCCACTGGGGATGTGTCCGCAACCAAGGTACATGCCCTTGACCGGAATCGAACTCGGGACCTTTCAGTCCACAGGCCGACGCTCTATCCCACTGAGCCAACCCGGTCCCGGCAAGTATATCTTAATTTGGGGAATGAGAAAGGGTGGAAAATGTCCACCTGTGTATGTGGATTTTGTACAAAATATTATTATGAAATTTGCTCCTGGGGAAAAGAAAGGGAAACAGACTACAGAGTGTGTTTAGAATTCAGATGGCAAGTATGTCTTGGCATAAAATACAGTGAGAATAAAAAATAACTTTCAGGTTGGTTAGCAAGATCTAGCTAAAAGAAAAATTCAATTTATTAACTTTATTTCTCCTAAATGAGGTAAAACAGTAGTGCCAATAATAAGTAGAATTCCATCTCTCTCTCAGTAGATATTTGGTGAAGAAATAAACACTGAGAGAGAATCCCCTCATATCTCATGGGACAAGGCTAAGGAGAGGGACCACTGATGAGAGAGTTAGTCCTGCAACATGATAAGAGGTCTGAGCCCAGCTCATAGACTGAAGCTAAGAGTTTGGGATTCCAGTCACAGTGCTTGGATGCTGCTGCATGGAGACTGAATGCTGCCCTTTCATCTCTCCCCAGCAGAGGAAAGAGGGGAGACCACATAACTGAGCTGTGATCCAAGAGAGGCCAGTAACATCACATTTGGAATTCTGCCATCCATCCCATGTTGAAGAACACCAATTTACCAGGGACTACCTTGGACTTTGGATGAAAGAATGAAAGGTAGGTATTTGTTTCTAGTTTTTGTTTTGTTTTGTTTTGTTTTCCCCCATCTCCCCCTTCAAATAAACTGTTCTCATTGTTTCTAGGGGCTTGTTGTAAAGACTGGTCAGTTTGGCAGGAGTCTGATTGTGGAAACCTATTGTTAACACTGCTGGTATGGTAGAAGCTTGTGTGTGGGAGGACTGGGAAGACTTAAATAAACATCTGTAAACTACTCATTCTAGTTCAGAGGTCAAGTATACAACAATCCATAGGAGAAACTTGGACTTTATGACAAAGACAGAAGAAAGTGCTATGCAAACAAATCTGCTAGCTGAATATTGAGAGCAAAAATTAAAGCAGAGGCTGATTGTCATTTTGAAATTTTAATAGGATCACCTAATAAAAGTTATTATTATAGAGCATTTACTATATGAAACTGATAGAACTATCTAGTAAAAGCAATATATGGAGTGTGGATAAAATGTTGCCTGTAGATGAATTCTTGTCCTCTTAATAGTTTTATTACAAAACATGTTTGGATAAAACGATAACCATTAAGCTCACAAACATAGAAAATGAATAACTAAGTCATACTGTAGAAAAACACATTTAAGATAAATGTAAACTTTTTAGATAAATGTAAGCTACTACCGTGAATTATTTCTCTCTGGTGCTCCTAACCAGTGCTTTAAGACCACTAGTACTGATGATATTAAAGTAAAAAAAAAAATCTCCCAAATACCAGACTTACATATGCCATGACCTAGAGTCATTTACTGCACAATTTCTAGTATGTGATCTTCTTTAGGGGAGGTTCTGTGTTATCCGGTATCCCTAATGTCTAATTAAGTGCCAGGACATTCAATAAAATTTCACTAAATGAACATTTGAATAAATACTTTCTAAAACCATATATTTAAGCCACATGTATTCTTGATGCAGCGTGCCAAATAAATGTTTTATCCAATTTAATCCTTACTCAGATCTCTTCTTATTCTTAGTTTTCAGGAGAGAGAATTCTCAAGATCTAAATGATAAAAGCATATTCATCACCACTTAAGAACACTGTACTTTTCCTCCATCTAACCTTGACTAATTCTCACATGTATTTCAGAAATATGAATAACGCCTTCATGCAATTCACATAAGGCACAGAAAAGAAGTATCATCATTTCTGGTTTAATTACAGATTTTGAGGTTAAGATGACTCATGAACAGCTGAGCAGCCAGTCAGGAGAAGAAACCAAAATAGAACGGAAACGCCTCCATTCCCACCCCCACGCTCAACCTCCAGCCTCCAGCGCACCCTGCTTAGTTGATGGAAGCGTGATGTGCCTGGGAGTGAACTGTGAAGAGCTTCCTGCAAGTTAATGAGCTGCCTGAGGAAGAGTGGGCTCTCCCTGGAGACGAGTGAGCACAGCTCACTCTCAGTGCAGCTGATAAAAATGAAAGACTTCGCAAAGCAGCTCCTTGAACGTTGAGATCCTGTTGTTTGGAGGAAGATGATTCATTTACCTTTAACTGAGTAATGTTCAGAAATCATCATCCAAGTCACCTAAACGGAATAACTTTTACATCCCAGAAAAAAAGTAACCTTAAAAGGCAAACTATCTCATGGGTAGATGGGCAAAGGTGAGCATGGTATGCTGTCTATGTGGGGAAATAATTTTTTTTTTATTAAAGGAATTTCTCTGATTCTTTTATCCACACAAGAAAAGAGTAGTAAGGCATGCTTCCATAGCAGACTATATACTAAATTACTTTTAAAAAAATAATAAACAATAGCCGAAACGGGTTTGGCTCAGTGGATAGAGCATCAGCTTATGGACTGAAAGGTCCCAGGTTCGATTCTGGTCACCGGCATGTACATTGGTTGTGGGCACATCCCCGGTGGGGGGTATGCAGGGGGCAGCTGGTCAATGTTTCTTTTCCATAAATGTTTCTAACTCTCTATCCCTCTCCCTTCCTTTCTGTAAAAAAATCAATAAAATATATTTAAAAAAATAATCAACAATAGAATGTAGCAGGTATCAGTCTTTGACATGCAAACAAATTATTTTGGGAATCCTTAAGGAGCTTAAAGGTAACCTGTAAAGTGTGTTTAAAAAATATTAATAGTCATTCTGTAACTACAAATAAAATGGCCCTGGGTAGATGAATTCAGAATTACACCTGTAACAGATTTGATAAAGTTAAGATGCACCTTTCCCTCCACCATCCAATTCAAATAATGATGTTGTCCAATGTAAATACTGGTTTCCAGTAAGCAGAGCCATTCTTTTTCCTACACCTCTGGAACTGAAAGCACACACATCTATTTTACTTACTGAGGCTGCCTTCATAATTCCAGTGGGCTGGCTTCTAAGAGAAGTTTTATAACTCTTCTCCATCAAGTCCTTTGCCACATTACTATAGCTTATAGCAATGCCCCAAACCAGACAAATAAGACAAAAAGATAGTTATTAAAACCTTTGTTTAATTCACCCCACTTTTCCTATTACTATTACTGTCCACCCCACATTCACATTGTTATTTAATTGCCTCTCACATCCTACTGGTTTGACTTCCTCTGCTCTACTCTCAGTGCTTATGGTTCTTTGTGTTATCATTAATCTCACCATTCCCTGAATCTAAACTTCTAGAGTCTATGTTTTCAAATGTCCAACCCTCCCACCTCCTCTTGAAAAACAAACCTGAATACAAAGCAGTCCAGCCGTTGGATATAAGGAGAGGAACCTACAAATGAGAGAGACACTTGCAGAATATAAACCAGACACACGTGTTACACTCCCATCTGGCCATAAAGAACAGCCCAAGCCTGATAGGAGGACTTCAGCCAAAACAGAAGGTTCTTGTGGTGAGACAGCTGATACGGTCAGGCTGTAAAAACCTCTCCACTCCTTCCTGCGGCCACTGGATTCCACAGGCTTGCAGGTGGCAAGAACCACTGAATTTTCTGTGTGCTAGTCAGAAGCTTGCACATGGTATGTGGCTTACAACACGATGATTTCAGTCCTTGAGCAAACTCAGATAAGACAGGGGATAATGTTTCCCTGCTTACCCTGGACATCGGCCCATGGAAGCGAGGCAGTACTGTCAAGCAACGTTTTCTAGGGAGTGTTCGTAAAATATGACACAATTTCTGTATAATCTAGCAGGTTGGAGGTTCGATGGCCTCCAGTGGCTTCAACACACTCTATATGTAATATACATAAGACATGTCACTCTAAAGACAACTATCCTTTGGACTAATCCAGTGGGAAAGTTATATTTGGCTCATGGATTTGTTTTCAAGTCCCTGTATCCACACAAAGTTTGACAATAATTTCTTTTTGGAAGCTATGAGCACAATGTGGATCCCAAGAAATGTTACATATGATATTTTAATTACAATAAAGGTGAAACCTAGTGAAGTTGGCTCTATCGGTGTAACTTCACTGTAAGAAACAGATTCTGGGGACAATTCTTTTGTTTTATATTTTGTCTTGGCATGGCTTCACTAAACCTCAACTTCTGTGAAGCTAATGTAGTACGAGCTAGGTACTCACACTTTTGTCCATCTAAAAGGGAATTTGATGTAATGGCTGATGTGTGGACAAAGTGGCAATGTTATATGGAAGCTGACTTTTAGAATAAAACGTTCTCTGGAATAATAAGTTGGCATTGATCAATCTCTAGAAATTCTTACCTGGACATGGTACCTGTGGAGAAGACCTTGGGAGATATTCAAAGTACCCAGGAAATACCCCAAAATGACACGCTTTCACAAAGGGGTGCATGACCCAGACCTCTTTTAATTTCGCATCCAGAGTTTTTTTTTACTTTATTTTTACGTTGTGCTGCTTGTTTTTCCCACCAAACTTTTCCCAAGGATGTGCTATTTCTTCTCTCACTGCCATTGCTTCTCCCATTCAGTTCTATAAATGCTCATTTTCCATGCACTCACTCACTCTGCTATTCAACAAATGTTTTCTAAGGGTCTTGTTTTGAGTGCTGGAGTAAGATTAAGTGGGGCTAGGGGGGAGTATTCATTGCTCTAAGAAGCTGATGATCTAGTGAGGGGGATGATCAAAACTAATAAACAAATAAATAAGATAATTTCAGCGAGTAATAAGTGAATAAAATAAATAAGCTAATGACTATGAAAGTAACTGGAGACTCCTTTACATAGAATAGTCAGCATAGGTCTCTGAAAATAAATCATTTGAGTTAAAATTAGAAATATGTTACATCCAGCTTTGAGGGAGCTAAGAAAATCATCCCAGGCAGACTAAATACTGTATTAACACCAAAAGCCTTGAGGAGAAAAAGAATCAAGTGTATACGAAGGACAGAACAAAGACCTGGACATAGTACCTGGTGGGAGAGGGTACTACATAAAACTCTTCTAGAATATTATAAGGTATGGGGAAGATTTAGATTTGTTCTCAAATTTAATGGGGACTCCAAGTGTTTTAATCAGGAGATGATATGGTCTAATTTACAATTTTAGAAGCTCATTCTGTTTTCTGTGTGGAAACAGATTAGCAGGTAGGGAAAACTATGTCTGAGCTATTGGAGTAACTCAGGATGATGGGGCTCTGAAGAGCACAATGCAGTGCAGATAAAATGAATTAAATAGGTCCTAGATATGTTTGTGTGTGTTTTTTTTTTAAGAGTTTACCTACAGTTTAGACACTGGGCATGATAGAAAGGTAGGTACCAAGGATTTTATCTTCAGCATTTAGAGAGATGGTGAAATCACTCTCTGAAATGGAGCACACAGCTTTGGAGGGATAGAAGAAAGACAGAATTAATAATTATCTTACATTGGAGGTGTTACCATAGGTGCTCAGGGAGAGAGTTCCAGTTTGGCGAGGCATCAGCCCACAGGTGGTCTTAACATCTATGGGCCTGGTTCATATCATCTGTAATGAATACCAAGGACCGAGAGTGTAGAGGTCAAACAGATTAAGATAAAGAGCGAACATACTTTCTTGAGACATGAACTGCTATGTATATTTCAATAAATAAGTGACTACAAAAGGGTGGGGCAAAAGTAGGTATATATGGATAATACTGAGTTGAACACTTGAAATGGATAAATGGTACGGTATGTGAATTATATCACCATAAGACTGTTTAAAAAAAAAAAAAGAATGAGAAAGGCTGAAGGACTTGCCAGGACTATCCTGTGGTGTATTGTTATTTCATCTTTGAAACTCTTAAAAAGCTTTTAGAGTCATGTGAGAATCACAATGGCCCACTACCTACTAGGAACTCCTTTGAGTTGTTCTCTCTTGAACCTTGTAACATGCCTACTCGGGGAATGTTATCAAAGAAATAAGGGGGGTGGGGAGGGGAAGACTTCAGATTTTGGTAGAATGTGTGCCTTGGACTTTTTGAGCAGGGATTTAACCTGATATCTTTGGGTGTGGAGGAAGGGAGGTGTGTGTGTGTGAGGGGGAGGAGGTGGGTGGAGGAGCTTCATAGTCTCAGACTGCAATCCTTCTAAAATTACATGTCAGTTGTGAACATGTGGTTCAATGAATTATTCTGGAAAGAGGTACTTTTACCATGGTTTCAGAGGAATCTTGCCCCCATAACCGCCCCCCATCCCCCGGAGGAAACCTTTAAATTTTTTTTTATTTTATATTTTATTGATTTTGTACAGAGAGGAAGGGAGAAAGAGAGTTAGAAACATCGATGCAAGAGAGTCATCGATCAGCTGCCTCCTGCACACCCCCCGCTGGGGATGTGCCCACAACCAAGGTACATGCCTTTGACCGGAATCGAACCCGGGACCTTTCAGTCCCCAAGCTGACGCTCTATCCATTGAGCCAAACCGGCCTCGGCGAAACCTTTAAATTTTCGAAATATAAAATTCAGACTATTTTCTAAATGCCACTTTCTAGTTTATATCCATTATGTTTCCCTGGCTGGAGGAGGAGGAGTGGAGGAAGGACCTGAAGAAGAGGGGGAAGAGAGAAGAGGAAGAGGCAGAGAGAGAACACTAATTTTCAATTTCTGAAAGGAGGAAACATTATTTCCTAAGGCAAAAATCCAAATTAGATTTGGTAGAACAGGAAGGACTGATTGAATAGGTTTGTTCTCTCTTCTTTTCCTGTAATCATTTTAGGGTATGATTTACAGGGATAAGTATCAACTCTGATGAAGCAAATAAAACGAATGAGAAAGCTGTACTTCATCTAAACACTGCAAATCAATGTTGTCCTCGCCCTCTCATTGAAGATGCCTGCCACATGAATGATTCATGGTGAACCATCAACTCAGCACAGTCACTCTGCAAGAACACCAAGGGTTTGCTTACACATAATTACTCAGAACTGAGTAGGAGGAAATCCCTGTCTCGGATCATGGAAGATAATGGAGTTCCAACTAAGGATGCCTTGGCAAAGTAGAAGTACTTTCCCTTGGACCTTTGAAATACTTAATGAGTTGAATCATGTCAAGTAACAAAATAAA